GGTGGAGGGGGCTGTGGGGCTGTGGGGCAGTGCCGGGATGCTTTACAGAATAACAAGACTTTAAAAAATGCATTCAGGAGCAAAACAGGTGTGTAACCTAGGCGGGAATCGAGACTGCTTTTGCCCCAGAGCATCCTGTACCCCTGGGATGCTGCAAATGCTATGAAATAACACCCCTAGCCCCCACTTCGGGGTTGTGGCCCCCTTTATGGACCAGTCCGCAGCTTTACAGGGTTGTCTTTGTGTTCTGCAGCCTCAGGTAGGGCCCAGCAAGTGGTTTGAGTGCCTTTCTTTGCGTGCCTTTCTTCTCCTTTGTTGCTTTTTTAAATCTCTTGCGTAATAAACTGCCAGTGCGATGGTGCATTGCACGGAGGGTATATCACTTAAATTGTTTTCCATACTGTTTGGGATAACTGAATTCATATTCGGTACCGTAAAGTACCTGGAACCTGAGCTCAAAAGAGAAAGAAAAACTTCTAAATATCTACCAAAATGCTACTGTTGGACAGGTGCATGCCATGATGAGGTGTGCGTTTACATTTACTTTCGCAGGTGTGGACACTTAAGTAGGAAACTCAGACCATCAAATGGCTTCTTATGTGTTCCTGAGAATAAATAAACCGGGGCTTCTACAGCCTTAGCAATGCAAGGTTTGGTACTGCATCTTCACAGGTAGAGGAAAGAGTAAACAAGTCAAGGGGCGGTTTGTCATCGCTTGACAATGATGCTTTGTGCGGTCATAAAATGTGAGAACACGTTTCTGTCACCTGGAGAGCAGGGGCAGCAACATTTGCTTAACTGAAATATAGGGTTTACTCCACTGGATGGAGATAAGTATTTGCAAGGAGGTAGTATGTGTGTAGCCATTGGTGTTAATAATTAACATAAACTCTAGAGGTTTTTCCCAACTTCTCCTGATATTTCCTCTCAAACGAGGGGTCCATGCGGTGTGGAAATGCAGTCCTGTTAACACACCTGACCAGATGAGAACGGCATCTCAATACACAGTACAGAAAATCCTGTTCCTGTAGAAATTGGTGTACAAATCCTGCTGCCTTCAGTGAAGCAGTAGGTCCAACACTCTTGAATGACCCTGTCTGGTATTAAGATTTGTGTTATTTGTGTTATTCTCGAGCTAAAGGTTTTTATTTGAAGGATAAGAGGAACAGAAATTGGAGGATGAGGTTATACCTCTGCTGCCCTAAGAGCCCACAGTAGGGGTGCCTTCCTCCTGTGCCCTCCAGAGAGAAATGGTGTAGTGCCATTTAGATAGCAAGTCTCTTATCTCCTCAGTGTGGTGGAATGGGAATAGTAATATGTTTTGATGCCTCTTGTATGGCATGTGTTTAGAGTCTAATTGATATGTTGATACAAAATGAAGTTGCATTGAGTCCCTGCTACCCTCAAACTGCAGCCCGAAATGTAGAAGAGGGAAGAGCATCGGAGACAGCTCTCCAGCGGGCTTTGACAGGCTGAGGATCTGCCTCAAGCACCTCTCAAAAGAATTCCCCAAAAGCACTAGGGCAGGGACTGAGTCCAACGAAAACTGACTCCAGCCTTGCCAAAAACCTTGAGAGCCTCCCTGTGGGGCTGCAGCAGGCTCAGAGTCACAGCCTTGCACTCCTTTCTTGGCAGGAAGGTTCCATCGAGGAGGAGATTGCTGGGCGAAGGCCCAGCACGGAGACTAAACAGCCTTAAATTGTGCCTAACAGTGCAGGACAAATACTGCCGGTTGTGGTAAATTATGCCCAGAACTGCCACGGTCTATTAAGAGATGCAACACTAATCACAGGCCAGGCTAGCAGTTTTGTGCTGCTTGGCTGATTCAGGTTGCCCGGAGGGGCACAGCAGAACCATGTGTAAAGGCCTCCTTGTAGAGCAGCGGGATGTAAGTGGAAGGATGGAGGAAAGGATCTGTGTCGTGTGCCTGAGCCCTCACACCAGCTCTAGGCCTTGGAGGATGCCCGGAGGACACGGACCTAATGGATCAAAAAGTTTTGCAGCTGGAGCAAGCCCATGCAAAGAAAGACACTAAATTAGAAGAGAAGCCGATAGGACTGGAAGAGCACTGATGCGGCACAGGGGTACTCAGGGAAGGGGACGTAGTGGGAGAGGATGATTCCGGCAAACATGCCAACATCTGTAGGGCTGGGATTCTTGCTGGGACAATCTTTCTGCAGTCATCCTTCCTTGAAGCCACTGGGGCTGGTCAGATGAAGGGCAGGTTTGTTGGGGCATGCTGCTTCATGCTCCGTGCCAGCACTGTTTTAGTGCCTGCTCTTCTGTCCCTGCTGCAGTGCTTCATTCAGAGAAAGAGTTCCACGATGCGGCAAAGCGTAATGACATGGCCAGGATGGAGGAGCTCATCAGGAGAGGGGTCGACATCAAAGCCAAAAACAATGTAAGTCCTGGATTTTTCTACTTCCAAGCTGCAGGGAGTGCTGAGAGTGTGTTTCAGAACTGCAGCTCCTTAACACTACTGTTCTTATAAGCTACTCAATTGGTCAAAGCTTTAAAATACACCGTCCAGTGCTAAATAGGGCCTGTGGCAACTGAGCAGTTTCACAACATGCTGAAACCCACAGCACGGTCATCCTGGCCAGACTGCAAAGTTGCAAGCACTGAGGGAGGGTGATAATTTACAGTTCCTCTTGCAACCCGTGTGCCAAATACACACGGCTGCAATGAAACGCTTTGATTTTGCTATCTCTGTCCACCAAGGTTGTGGGACTGACTCGGTTCCTGGTGCACCCACCCCTACTGTTCCAATGTGTTCATGCTCAGCGATCTTTCTCATTCCTTTGCTGTCGTTATAGTCCATAACTGCAGTTTCCGAGTAGAAGGTTACTAGTACCTGTCTGCCTTACAAGAGAGCGTAGAGACAGAGGGCTATGTCCGAAGAAAACCTTGCACAGTGTGAGAAATTCTGGCTCCATGGATGGCAAAGGAGATTTTGGCCTTCAGGAAGGGTGGTGGATACACATGCACTCTGCATACATCAACCTTCCTCTCTCCATCCTTCCCCTCCAGACAGACCGGACTGCCCTGCACTGGGCTGCAGGAGCCGGGAACGTGGATGCTGTGCGACTGCTCCTGGATCACGATGTCCCGGTCGATGACGAAGATAGTGTACGAAGGCAAATCTCCCTTGCATGTCCTGCAAATGTGTTCTGTGTTGGGGCAAGACCGTGGACTGGGTGCTGGGCCAGCAGTTACAGACTTCAACTTGGCCCTGGGTGGGTGGCACAAGGCATTGTAGTGCTTGGGAAGCTGTGGCCTCCCTGCTGAGGCAGGTGCAGTGCCTTTCTGGTGCAAGCCTTGTTTTCAGATGTGTCTGTGCTCTGTCTTTTGGCATTTTCCTTGCATGCACAGTGACTGAGAAGAAGACTGGTAGAATCTGTGAGGTTCTGTATATAGCATGGGGATGCTTGGCTGCTTCTGGTCGTGTTGTTGGGGCTTGTGAGAAGACAGTGAGAGCCAGCAAGTTCTCTCTTCCCTCCATAACAAGCAGGCTAATATGCACCATTGACTAGAAGGGGCAGTCAAGAGGCTGGTCTCTGCTCAGCTGCTGCGCCCATCTGTGGCAGGAATAATAGTAATTGGAGAAAGAAGGGCTAAAAAAACCCCAGAGAGAAACAGAAGTATTTGGGAAACTTCATGAAGCTAGAGGGACAGCTTCCCTCCAGGGTGGGGATGGTGGTGGCTACAATTTAGCTCTAAGTATCTCTATTCTCTTCTGCCCAGTTTGGAATGAATGCACTTCTCCTGTCTGCATGGTTTGGCCACCTCCGCGTCCTGCAGATCCTCGTCAATGCTGGGGCCAAGATTAACTCTGTCAATAGGGTGAGAGAGTCTCCTTACGTGGCTCCATCACACGCTCCAGACAGCGATGGGGGGGAGAGGAAGAGGCTTACCTGTGAACTAAGGTGGTCCTGTATGACAGCATCTGCTATGGGGACAGTTGTCTGCACTTCTCCTTTATTCCTAAAACAGGTGTATTAATTGTAGCTATGGAGATCTACACGGCTTTCTTAGCTCACATTTGTGCAGGGATGAGGTGGAAGGTGTTACAGAAATGGGAAAGGGGCTTATGGAATGAGCAGTCTGTGTATTTTAAGATAGACCTTGATTGGGAAAAAGAGCATTAATATTTCAGAGTCATAGCTTGCTGTCTTCAGCACAAACTGGTTTAGCTTTAGAGGTGCAGGGAGGCATTGAATGGGACTTTGCTAACAGGAACAGGTTGTTAAAAGAGACTGTCCCATTGTCTTGGGCTTATTAAATGAATGGTCCTTCATCTCCTCTCCAGAATGGCAGGAACCTCCTACACTGTGCAGCTCAGAGGGGACACATCCGAGTGATGGAGTTCATCATGGAGGACCTGGAGGACATGTGTGTGGATAAGACAGACAAAGTAGGAAGGCTGTTCACTGCTTTGTTTCACAAGGTCTGATCTTGCTCTGCTGAGCTTAGAGGAATGTTGCCCTTGGTTTTGGGAAGAGACTCAGAGTCAGATGCTACTCCTGGAGTATCAAGAGTATCCCACACAGGCTCTGGCCCTCCTGTGTAGGGGGCCTTAGGGATGGATGATGGGGATTCTGGCTCTGGTCAGGCTTTGGCAGCCAGGGCTTCCCAATGTAGCCTTTTGCAGAATAAATTCAGGAATTTCAGTGTCCTTCTCTTGTGCAGCTGATGCTCCAGGGTGTATTGTAGGTAAGCAATAACAAAGGGTAACCCTCTCCCAGCATGTTCCAGCATTAGCTGATCTGTTCCCGAAGACAGAATAGGAGGAACACAGAGGAACGCACAAGCTGGCACACGCTCTTTTGTGCTCCATGGCCTTCATGGAGTCCTAGAGTGGTCATGGTTCCCAGAGTGATGCTTACTCTGATGCTTGGGAGTTGAACATAGGAAGTTCCATCTAAACACGAGGAGGAACTTCTTTACTTTGAGGATGGCAGAACACTGGCACAAGCTGCCCAGAGAGGTTGTAGAGTCTCCCACACTGGAGACATTCAAAATCCGCTTCGAAGCCATCCTGTGCAACCTGCTGTAGGTCGACCAGCTCTGGCAGGGGGTTTGGACTGGATGATCTCCAGAGGTCCCTTCCAACCCTGACCATTCTGTGATTCTGTGATTGTGTGAGTTAAATGAGGCAACAAGAGATCTGCCTTTCCCCCCAAAAGGGTTCTGACTCCCTGGATAACTGGGATCTCAGATATTAATTTATTTTTTTATCCTTAGTCGCTTTTAGTAAACTATTTGTTATCCTCTATTTATATGAAGTAAACACTGAAATGATCTCTTTTCCAGTGTTTGGCAAGACCAAAGTGTTTGGAGTTGTTAGTCCTAGTGGGTAGTTCTGTTCACCTTGTTTTGTTAGGTTCATCCCAAATGTAAAGCAGAATAAAAGTTAGCAACAGAATAAAAGATAACTGTTTTTGAAGTGCAGTACTTTTTTCCCCCTGTGGACACCAAGCTTGCTGTGCAACTGGGTTATCGCAGTAGGCATTATTATATTTCTTGCAGCGGATGATGTAATCTTGTGCTTTCTGAGCCTTTCTTGGACTGTATTTCTTTCTGTTTCCTTTCAAAGATGGACAGGACAGCGTTTCACCTGGCTGCAGAGTATGGGCAGCTGGAGGTGGTGGAGTTCCTAATTCGACTGGGTTGTTCTCACAGTGCCAAAGACAAGGTATGGGCATAAAACCACACACAGGGGAGGTAAAGTCCAAGGATTAGAGGATGTGAAGGTTAGGGAACAGGTTACCAAATTAGGCTTGTGCAGGCAAATTGTCAACAGTTGTAACTATGGTTGTGGTAGGTCAGGGCTTTTCTTCCCTATCCACTTGCAAGCCATTTGCACCTCGGTCCATGTTGGATTTCTCTCCAGGTCTTTTCAGACAGGATACTCAGTGAGCCTGGTGGAATATGCTCCAGTTTAAGGTAGCCGGGTTTCTTCCCTCCCTGCTGCACCTATTAGAATACTGTTTCAGACTCTTCCTACTTGTTAACAACCTCCTCGTCAGTCATCCTGGGTATACTCTGCGCAACGTTGTGGTGTATGGACGCCCAGTCCTGTGATACATATATGTATGAAGTGATGTTTACTTTCAGGAAGAAAATACAGCATTGCATTTAGCTGCTAAAAATGGACATCTCTCTGTGCTGCAGAAGATTATAGATCTTGGAGTGGACCTTGATGAAAAGAACTTAGTAAGTACATTTACATCAAATGAAAACCACATCACCCTTTCCCTCCCCAGAAATGCTCTCCTGACACAGTCATCAGGCTGAATAGTCAGTATTGACAGGAGAGGTTTAGAAGATAGCTGATTTTATCTAATGTGTACGTGTGTAAACGCAGGTCACACTTGCAGAATATCAGTGAAAGGCAACATCCTTCTTGGACCGATAGGCAATTCTGAAGTGTTGCCTTTTCTTCCTGCTGTATTTGCTGACCTACCTTATCACTCCATTTAATCTCCCTTTTTTTCCCTGACCCTTGTACACTCAAGTGCCTAAATGGTTATTGAGTGTGTTTTAAACTAAACTTTACTACGCTTTATAGTATTGACTTAGTCACTGAACATATGGACCTTCTGTTTGAGATCTCTCTTTGACAGACCCACTTTGGAAAATGATGTGTCTGGAACATAGTTAATGATTTAGATAGCAAATATTGGCTTAGTAACGCTGTTATTTATTCCAGGGCACACTCCCAATTAAGTTTATCAGCAATTTTTTTTTAGTCTTATTTGGTTACTGTCTTTGAAAAGTGTATTCGATTGCGATTAAGATCTGAAAGAAAAGGGAAACCACCTTCTGCGGTAACTTTGGTAGCATTTGTCTTCCCCCAGATGAGCTGCCCTTTGTGCAAAGAGCAATAATAAAACGAGGTTAAATCACTTAGGAATTCTGTTTGTTTCTTGTAAAGAAATGAGCTGCAGCCCTCAGAAGGGAGAACCAGTGGTCAAGAGCCATGGGTTTCCAGTTCTGCCTAAGGCTGTTTCTGGGCTACCCTAGGAAAATGGTTTGTCTTCATTGTCCATGTGAAATCCTTTTTTGTTTGCTAATGGGCTAATGGGGAGAAAAGATGATTAACGTGATGTCTGTCTTGTGGCCCATGGGCCAGCTGTTTCCAGTGGCATAAGAACAGACCAGTACTCTAATATGTCAATGGCAGATAATGGTGTCCTTTGTTTTCCTAACAATCACCCTGGCCCTCAGAATTGGTATTTTGACATGTCATGGATTCAGAAGACTGGATAGAGGCTCGCTCGTTCCTCTGCTCTGTCTTGGCCTTGTCTACAGAAATGCTGCTTGTCTCCTTTTTTGCCTTGTCCAGGAAGGACTTACAGCTCTGCACCTGGCTGCTGAGGGAGGTCACAGCGACTGTGTGAAGCTGCTCTTGGAAGCAGGTGCCGATGTCAATGCCCAAACCCAGGTGAGCTCCATGGATGTGATTCCATTTCCAAACACTACTTTGTGGATTTTTGCCCAGACCTGTGGCCTCCCAGGGAGGGCAACCATTATCGGTTGAGGCCGCGTGGAGCCCAGCACTTCAGAAATAGCGCAGGGAGTCCAGAGGAAAGTACACATGGCTTTGTACAAAGAGGCAGGTGAAGCTCCCTGGGGCTGGTTTGGCTGTGGAGACAATCTTTATGAATTTGTCAGTACGGGGGCACAGGGCTCTTGCAGGAGGGAATCAGGGAGATCTCTGTGGAGAGTCTGTAACAATTGCAGCGCCTGAGAAGAAGCTGTGACTAATTCCCATCTCTTCTGACGTGCCTCTTAGAAGAAGATGAACTGCCTTCATTATGCAGCACTGCACGGCTATGAGGAGATAGCCAGGATCCTCATGGATGCAGGAATCCACTCAGACGCTCTTAATTATGTAAGTCTTGCTCAATGCTCTCATTGCTTACAAAAAGGCAAAGCCAGTTTGTGGAATTGTTCAAGAGGACAAAGCAACTCTGTAAGGACCAGTGCTGCTCTGGGGTCTGTGCTTATGGAGCAGTATCCCCAGTCTGCCCCCAGTCCAGGCTGGCAGCTGTCTTAGAATAAGACATTCTGGGAGCAGCATGGTCCTTTCAGTGCCATGATCTAAGCTCTTCGTAATTTCAGGGTCTTCTTTCCACAGCAAAATGCATCAGCAACACACATTGCGGTACTGCAGAACTTCCCAGCCATGGTGAAGCTCTTCATCGACGCGGAGTGTGACCTTGACATTCCAGATAATGTAAGACTGCAGCTCCTGTTCTTTGTCTTTGAAATGTGAACCAGTTTCATGGGGTATTTGATCACCTTGGGGACAGGGTTAAAGAGGAGTGCTTTAAAATGGGGAAAACCTGGAAGCGCAACTTAGGAAACATGAAACCTGTGAAACGATTCTGAGTGTTGCAGTGAGGTAATCGCTTGATGGCATTCAACAAGTGGGCTGTGTGCCATGTCCCTGGGACCTGTGTGCAGCAACATTGCACAGTCGGGCTCTCTCCTCTCTGCTTGAAGCAGGTGGGAGAAATTTCAGGCCGGAAGATACTCTGCAAAATGTTTGGGGGGGCTGAGAATGGGAGGCAAGCCTGGAGGTACCTGGTTGTCTCACCAGATTGTCATTTTGTGAATGAAGGGCTTTGTGTAGCTCATTTGTAATGTTTTGGTTAATGTTCATTCTTGTAGTGATGTTCTCTCCAGATGACACCATAAAATTGCCACATTTTGTGTTTGATTTTAGTTGTATCCATTAAACAGTCGCAAGGTGCATACAGTTTACAGTGCATACACATTAACCCGGCCCTGTCTCCCAGTAACAAAGAATTGGCACAGGTCCTTTCCTCCCTTGGCCAAACTGTCTGTCTGCAGAAATTGTTTAAATAACAGGAAATAATGTTGTCCTATAAAAGACCCAAGGGGACTTTATGGAACTGAAGAGGTGCCTTCTTTAGACTGAAATGTTATCAGGGAGGCTGGTGCTGGGACAGGGACAGCCTGGTTCTGCTCAGCCTGAGGAACCCAGTCCAGTTTGAGGTAGGAGGGTATTTGGCCTTCAGTTTAAAAAGGAATAGAGGGGAAAGGAGAGCAGAGCTGGCAGTGTTCTTACAGCGCTTCCTTCTAGTATTATTCTGTCCTATCCTTCCAGCCTCACACTTGTCCCTTTCTGAACTGTAGTCCTTTCACCCTTCTTCTGCAGAGGCAGCAGACCTCACTCCACATCGCTGCGGAGCATGGCAGGCAGGACATTGCTGAAATGATTCTCGTTGCAGGAGTTAATCTGAAGCTAACGGACAAGGTAACTGTCTCCGTGGGTTGAATAGATTCTGTGAGGGTATGGAAGGAAAATATGGATGGGCTTTGCCACTGTTTTTCATAATTTTTAAGGAAGGCTAGTAATAATATTAAAATCTGGGTATTTCCAGGGATAAGGCCTTGAAACACTGCTGAGCAGGTTATTTTGATGTGTTTCCCAGGAAGGAAGTGACTCATTCTTGGGAAGGTAGAAAACAGTTCACACCATGAGCAAACTTTCTCTTCTCAAAGTTGTTCTAGTTCCTTCTACTTCTACTTGTGCTATTTGATATCAAGATATCAAATGATATCATTGATATCAAAGATCTTCTTGAATAATGATAAATAATATACCTCAATAATTACAGCACACGTTTTAATAGGTTAAAAGTATCTGTTTGCTATAGAACTGGCACCAGCGTCCAAGGCTTTTGCCCTCTAATTAGATCAACAAAAGGAATTCTAGAGGAATCGGGCAAGTTGCATGCAGCCTGAAAGCGGGGTGTGTGCCCAGAAAATGCTGAAGGGGGCTTGGGCAGAGATTGCTGTAGTGTCTTCTATTCGCAGTGGGTTAAAGCGCATACAGACTGGAAGCCACCTGGCTGAAACAGCCTTCAGCCGCAGGGAGTGTTTGCCACCTTCCAGCAGTCTGCGGAACTGCAGTGAGACTAAGCGCAGGGAACACGTTCACACTTTTCTGTGTGAATTTGGCTTTCTGCTGGCATCTGAGGCTATAACCATTCTCACTGGCGTGCCTGATGGCTGGGCTGGCTCGCTTTCCTTCATGCAACTTTCAAATGTTATTCCTATCTGCTATACGCTTTTAGATATAAATATAAATCCCCTCCTGCCCAATGCTATATGCTTTTAGATATAAATATAAATCCCCCCTGCCCAACCCAAAATCATGTTCATGTAAGGACCGTAGTTACATTTTCATAGTCCCACCAGCCTGTGCTTCTCCTAGGAGACTGTTTCTAATCATGTGTATATGGAGACTGTAAAATTAATGAGGTTGTAGAAATCACTTTGGTTTCACGTGTCAGCAAACCTGCGGTACAAACGGCTGTAAAATGCTTTGGACTGTAGTGCTGAGCTCGTCCTTTGACAGCTGCACCCATGTTGCTGGGAGCCTGAAAGCACCCTGCCATCCACTGTGGGTTACAGGATGCTTTCCCAACCGCTCCTGCCAAAAGGACAGATCCCCTGCAGCAACAGAGGAGATGCTGCAGAGCCTAGAAAATTATTCCCCGTGCCCTGCTTGAAGCTAGCTCACATCCGAGGTGTTTACAGGTGGAGAATAGGGGTCCTTCATCCCGGCTAAGTGCATTTCTCAATAGGCCACACTGCCTGCTACTACAGACTGCCGGGTGGGTGTGGAGATTGTACCCTCCAAGCGTGCGAAGTCTTTTCCAGCTCGTTTTTCCCCTTCTGATTTCAGCAAGGTAAAACATCTCTGGATGTTGCTGCCCGAGGCAATCACATCAACTTGGCGGACATGATTATCAAAGCTGATCGGTTTTACAAATGGGGGAAGGTGAGTAGCTTACACCACCTTCCCCTGCGTTTTCTGGGGCGGATGTAGCTTTATCTTCTCCATTGAGACTCCACTTTAGAGCTGTCAAAAGGAAAAGAAATGCAGGACATCCTGTGACAGCCTGACCTCCACTTTCATCACCTTACTTAAGAAAAACAAAAGTCCTCACCATGCCAACAACATCTGCTTAAGGCTTTCCTTATTTAAAAAAGCCTTTGTTGTTAAAAACCCCAGGCTGTGCCGAATGGAACAGGGGTTTCCAAAGATTCTTTGGCAGCTGTTCCCAAAGTCCTGTAGAAGGGAGTGGGGTAGCATTAGTTCCTTTTCCCAGAAGGAGAAACCGAAGCACTGAGTAGGAAAATGCTTGGTCTGAGGTCACCAGATGGGAGGTGGGGAGTCTTTCAAGAGTAGAAGAGAGACACCCCTTGTGAGCAGAGTGATCAGTTCTTGTTGGAGTCGTACAACTGACTTCCCCCTCAAACTTCGCCGCAGCTGGGGCTGTTTCTCCTGTGTTTCCCAGTTTGGCCCAGCTGGGTCTCTCCTCCCGTGGCCCCATGTGCAAGGCGCAGCTGTGCAGCTCCTGTCCCCCGTGGAAACCCTGCCTACTCCAAGCCTGTGCCCAAACTGATTTGAGCAGAGGGTGTGCTGAAAGTACATCCAACCACCACATCCCTTGCATCTTCCTAAGACTTTGGGCATCCTCCCATACCAGGAAAGACAGTGCTCTAGAGAAAAAAGAAAAGGAAAGGAGGGCGTACACCGGTGGCACAGGCCCAGCTTCAGCAGTAATGCTGTGTATATCAAGCCCTTGCATGGGCTTTCCGCGCAGACCTAGGGAAAGTCATTCAGCCTCTTTGCAGTCTGGCATGTAAAGGAGGCGAGCACGTGCCTGTGTTGCAGGGGAGCAAGGAGATTTAATTAAATGATTCTGCATACAAGCCCCAGATAAAAGGCACCGTAGAAATGCAAATTGCGATCCGCAAGGGCTTCCACAGCAAAGCTGCTGTTAACAGCGTTTGTTAACATGCATGATTAGAACAGACTGAAACAAGAGAATAAAGAGAATAATAAAAAAAAAAAAGGTGCCGTGCCAGAATGAACGCACAGCGAGGGTGTGGGAGGCCACAGAATGACAGGTACCTCTGCGGCATCCCGACTGAAACCCCTGTTCTGGCTTTGCAGGACAATCTGAACAGCGACTCCGACTCCTGGGTGGCAAAGCACTTGACCTTTAAGCAAGACCACAGGCTGGAAACACAGCACATTCGCTCAGTAATGTGGAGATTAGCTACCAAGTACCTCAAACCTGGTGAATGGAAGAAGCTGGCACATTACTGGAAATTCACTGATGCCCACATTAGGGCTATTGAGCAACAATGGACAGGTATAAACAGCTGCCCAGCGATTTTCCTTCCTTTACTCGGACTGCATTTCTAGGAGATAAGTCTGCAGTAATAGCAAAGCATGAAGAAAAGATGGCTTATTTGGAACACCCAAAAGATTAGGTTAAAAAGCCTGTATTTGATTAATGTGGAGTTATCTACACACTGGAATTTGAGCTGAACCAAGAAGGCAGTGAAGTCCCATTTAGAATTTAAGAGATATGTTAGCAGCAGGTTCTGCGTTTCAGAAACAGGTCACTGCTGGTTCGGTTACTGTAAGGACTCCTGTGGTTTGCATGAAGTGAGCAAAGGGCTAAGCTATGTTCTGAAAGCAGAAATTGTGTATTGCCATGAAAGGTTCATGGCCCACTCCATTAAGTTTCATGTTAATCTAGGAATCACACCCCAACTAGGAATTAAGCTAAACTGTACCTTAGAGCATCCAAAGAGGAGGGAGGGGTTGGGGAGTCCAAAGGCACCAATTCAGAAATCTGCTCTGGTGAGGGCTGTGCGTTGCAAGTGCAGTATTTCAGTCGTGGTTTGATCTTGCCAGGTACGAAAAGCTACAGGGAGCACGGCCACAGAATGTTGCTTATCTGGCTCCATGGAGTGATCACGGCAGGAGAAAATCCAATCAAGGGATTGTACGAAGGCCTTGTAATTTAGCAGGTAATACTTTTGTCTTCCTTCAAATACCGCACACTGAGCCCTACCTGAATTCTGTGGTTACACAACATACAGGGGAAAACTTAAGTGAAGGCAATTCACACAAGCTGGAAGGTACCCTGCCCTGCCCCCTTGCTACCTTTACTTTTCGTTCTCTTCCTTTTATTTTGCTAAATTAACACATCCTGCCATGGCTTTATACCTTCTGTGCAGCAGAACATTCATTCTTCTTTTACAGAAAGCATTCGGAAAAAAGCAAATGCAGACTCTGCCTCTCCACGGAAGTGCGTAGCGATGTAACCTGTAGGGCACCAGTGGTTCTAGCAATTGATGCATCCTCAGCTTGTCGTAGAACTGCAGGAGAAACACCCGCTCTGCGACTGATCAGAAGGCACCTGCAACTTAAGGGCTTCTTGTCATAAACCGCTGGCATCCCTGCTGCTTCCTTCCTGGTCTGAAACAACCAGGGTATCGGCAAACGCTGGCGATCCAAAAGGCCTCTTTACACAGAAGGCAGATTTTGATCAGCTATTGGATATGGTCTGCGTACTGTTGTAAGAGATCAGTCAGTGAGTCGCACTTGTCATACTGTGAGCATCAGGAAATACTACACTGTAACATGTTTACATCACTTTTATATATAAATTTTTAATTTTCAGTTTTTTAAGTTATTGAGGGGGAAAACCTTCGTTTTCAGAAATGTTCTTAAATTACCTTTTGGGGGGTGGGGTGGGGTGTTGTCTATCACTTGTGTCTTAGATGTGTTCATAACTTCCCTGTTAGGGTGAGAATTGCAGAGGAAAAGTCAAGGATACCGCTCGGTCCTTTTGGAACCTTAAGGGTTGTGATCTTTAATGTTTCAACTCTTCACAAAAGGTTTCAGAGAAGAACATTAACATATAGTGTTTACAAATGTACATTAACATACATGTACTGTTTATCAATCAAATACGTGACTTCTTTAATTTCTAGTTTACAGCTTGAAAAGTGTAAGATAAGAACGGTCATTGGTTATCTACACAGCCTCTGACAAGACAATTTTCTTAAATACCAATTTGTCACATAATTATTTTTTACAATGTTTTGAAGGGAAAATCATGTCTGTATTTCAATAAATCCAGATTTTACCCTTAAATTTGCAAGTTATGCATTACTCATTTTTTATTTAAAAAATACTACATGATTCTTACTTAGAGCTAAACCAGTGCAACCTGTTAATTAAAGCTTGAGATGAATTCAAGCAGAAGGTGCTGGTTTTCTTAATTGCTAAAGGTGTCTGTAGAGGTCCACCAGGACTGCGGTAAGCTACACTGCTGCTCTCTTGTAGTCAGAACAAGAGACACTTACTGAAATTGAAGTTTTATTGAAAACCATTTTAAGAGCAAGAAAGTTAAAAATTCAAACGCTTTATTTCAAATAGAAACTAGCTTACAACACAACATATGAAGCAAATAAGTGATGGCAACATTGGCACTTAAACGTCTTTTAAACCAAATATTCAACAAAAATAGATGTCAGCTTATAAGTACACAATCTGCATGTGGCAATATATACAGCTGAGTGAAAAATATAAAAAGAAATACTGTTCTGCTTAAGAACATGATAGTGAAGACTTTGGTAGCAAAAATGTCTTTGTTTTTAAAACTGTAGTCTTGAAAGATGCTTCCTTGAATTCAAAGACTAAAAATGAAACAGATCCTATCCCGTTATACTGCTGGAGGTTACTGTCCGCGGGTAGTTCACTGACTATTGATCCTCCTGGAATCACACAGTGATAATCGGCTAACGCAAGGAAAAAGGCAGAGTGGGAACAGTTGATTGTACACAGGAAGACCACCAAACCGATTCCTCATTTTCCCCGGCACTCCAAAACCTACTGCTCTTCTTGCTCGTTGCTGGTGTGAAGACTGATCTTTTGGACTTCCAGCTCTTCTGCGCTGACCATGGAGGGATCGATGGCTGCGTACCGGGTACCATGGAACTGCAGCAAATGGATCTGTCGGACATGGAAAATAACACTGAAACAGGTGTTAAAAGCATAAGGTTTTGGTAAAAGAGAAATATCCTTTGAGGATGAAATCATGGCTCTGGAGTACAAGAGTTCAGAGAAAGGACAGAGGAAATGGGCAATCCTAGTCCTCTGTGACCATGGCTGCTCCCAGCCCTGCCCTTCTGTATCAGCGATCTGGCAGCCAGAGCCAGCAGAGCGCCGGCTGGGAAAGAAACAAGAGCAAGCGCAGGAAGAGTGTTTCCTCCTGCTGTTCTGGCTATACGCATTGCTAGACTGGGTTTGAATGCGGGGACTCACTTGAATATATAGGTTGACCTCAGCACTCCTGCAGAGATATGGGAAGTTGCCTCCTGTTTTGAGGTGAGCTCTTCTGGCATTAGGATAAAGCTTATACATCTCTTCTTTTGCTTCAGTCGAAAGTGCGCTCTGGTCAAACACCTACGTAACAAGTCAAAGCAGTTAGTTCTGAATCTAATCAGATTATGGTCACTAAATCCGACTGATATATGCTGCTTCAAGAAGCAATTCTCAGCTTCTCTGTGAAACAGCGTTAATGAAATGGAAAACAAGCAAACACATTAGGCATCAACAACTAGAAAGCCAACGCTGTGATACGTAAACATATGGCTGTGTTATTGCACAGACTGCCCAATTCATAATGTAACACAGAAGAACCACGGTCTTGCCCGGTCAGTAGAAGGCTTATCTAAATATAAAAGTTAGATGCTGCAAATATTTATGAATTTTCTAACAGAATATCCAGGCCCCACCTGCCAAGGGGAGGAAACGGTGTTTAAATAAAAGGATCACACTGAGATTAACTTACATCCATAATGGTTACAGGGATGTCTCGAATTTTGTGAGGTTCTACATAGGAGTTCTGGCAGTTGAGGGTAAGTCTTGAAGCGAGCTCGCTCTGGCCCAGACTCTCCAGCTTCAGTAGAGAGAAATACTGATTAACACCACATTTCACTGCAGGGAGTTAATACAATATTAACAATACACTCAAAGAGAAGTTAATTTTAAAGGCCAACATGACTGCACTTCAGATGAAGATTATAGTTCCAACTATAAGCAGGAGACAAATGCTTAAAACATGTTTGTTAGTTGCTCCTGACTCCAGAGCACGGCCCGGAGCAGCAGAAATACTACAATCTCCTGCTAAGTAAATCTTCTACAGAAGCTCACATCACAGCCGTTACTGTACACGGCTACCTACCCTGTCCACCATGAAATCAATCCCGTCGGCCATTTCAGGATCCAGAGGACCAGAGGCAAAATTCCCAAGGACAATTTTTTTCAGCATAAAAGCAGGCATCAGCCAAAAGCTAAAATAGAAACAAGATGTAACAGTCTTCAAGCAGCCGGGACTCCAACCTTAAGATGCTTTGTTGTAGGCACTCCCTTTCCTCACAGACTTTGTGCTTTAACTTCAAATGAAATCCTGAAGCAGCTTCAAGAGCACAGAGATGGACAACCTGGCAGCTATGTGCTTGAAATGCTCTGGGAAGCTGTTAGTCTTACATCGCAAGAGTATTTTTTAAATGTGGTGAATAACACTTTTCTCACTCTAAATGGTTTTGCTAGAAAACAGGCAGAGTCCTTAAATCTGAGCACACATGCACAGAGGACCACAAGATGACTCGTCTGTCAAATTCCACACTCCCAGTTGTGAAAATTTCCATTTTCCTCATGGCGTGGCTTTAAAAGTCACAAGTATTCCATCCCGCACCTCCCTCACCCAGGCTTGGAAACAGGTTAGACACATGTCAGTGTCACATTTCACTGCAAAAAAATTAATGCCAGGAATCTGATTGCTTGTCTCAGTCTCGCCTACCTGTTTGCGGTCCATGTCTGATTGAAGATAGAAGTGTCACTAAAGGAATTACACAGGATCAGAGATTGAACTCTCGGAGATTTGTGCGTGTATTCAGCAAATTTTTGAGCCAGAAAGCCTCCCAGAGAAGCTCCAAAAAGGTGAACCTAATTCAAGGAAAACAAAAAACCAATCAACAAACCGAGATCATGTTACACCTGTGAAAGAAGTGATCTCTAAGCACGTTTCATTACAAAAATAAGTCATTCAGTTTAGTTTCACCCTGTCCTCACGACCCATTGTTTAAAAGAATCAAACCCTTCTATTCAGCTTTTTGTTTTATGCATAACATAAATGTGATAAATACTGAAAGAAGGAAGCATTTCCAGGTCACAGTTCAAATTTCTGTTTGTTCATCAAGCTTAAGAAAAACCCCAAACATTTCACTTTGGTTTCAACAGTTATTCTAATCCAACTTTATTGTGGTATTTGGTACTACGTGAGTTAGGAAGGGTAACTTCCACAGGATCTCATGAAAGACTAGTTAACCAATACAATTTAATAAGCCTAGAACAGCAGTTGAATTGAGGCCAAGTATGACAATTTTTAAGGGTATTCACCTTCAAAAATAAACTTGTTTCAAAAGCAAAATTGCAACACAGCCTCTTTATTTAAAGGCTATGTTTTTGTGTCATATTTTATGCAGTTCCTCTTAAATGAGACTCTTTCAAACATTAGGTTTTTATTGCAGCTACACATCCGTTTCCCCATCTCGGAGCACTCACTTTATCCAGCTGAAGGTGGTCTAACAGTTTTCTGAATCCATCACAGAACTCAAGGTGATCCCAGTACACTGGATACTGCAACTAAAATAAGATGAAGTTAGAAAAAGCCGGTCTGTGATCAGTACCTGTCAGCTGACCGCTTGAAAGTCATACCAGTTCTCCCATTAAAGGTTCCGAGGTGGCAACCTGCCTCTTCTGTACCACAAGGCTCAAGGTCCTGAGCAAGGTCCCTACAGCCAGAGGGTGCGAACACCTCCCCCTCGCTTGCACAAAAAATACACAGCTGAAAGCACCGCAGAGCACGTTTGTTGGGGAAAGTGCAGCGTTGCTTCATTCTGTAATCAGTGGGAGGAGAGGCTGGAATGATTTTTCAGCGATTTTGTAGCACGTAAAGTTGGCAGGTACAGAAATCATTAACTGCTGCTAGAGGTACAGCAGTACTCCTAAAGCCATACGGTTTAGCAGAAATATTGTTGGACAAATCAATCGTTTCAGTTTGGCTTAGGAGGTGAAAAGCCACAAAACAGCATGCTGTTAGGATTTTGAGGAGGAGGGTCTTAGCATTTGCAGCCAGGCAGGCTAAGAACCAGGTTATGCACCATCCCTAAGGCACACTAACCCATACACTTGCCTCATGGCTAACAAACATCCAGCTGAAGGCAGAGATGACTTGTGTCCATGGCACACAAGGGAGAAAACAGAC